TCATATAACTTCTTCAAAGCTTTTCTTGATTACCGAAGTTTTTTTCATTTTATTCAGTTGGTTTTATTGATTAGGTTGTCAAACTTTTATCTCCTACTCTTCCGCTTTACTTTGTGATTTAAACTTCTTTGACTCTTTCTGTTATCTCTAACGTATACTATAGATTATGTTTTGATGACTGATTACAAGTTTATTAGTTAGTTTCCATGGTTATTCAGGCTAGATCCATAACATAGATAGATCTTTGATGACAAGCATCTTTGTGTGTGGATAGATCTTGGCCTTTATAAATGATTTTATTGAGAACAAAAAAAAAGTTTGAAGTAGAGCTCCTTTAAGTTCAAACGAGAGTTTAGTAGGGTAAAGAAAAGCTGCTAAGCTATGGATCCCATAAGCCCTAATCCTTATAGAGAGATAAAAAGGATTTGGTTATATGGATTGCATATCTTAGGAGCTTTAACTTGCCCTTTAATTGCTTTTACTCCTCTTTGGATTGAAGGGAGCTCTACATCTTCTTTCTCTTCATTTAAATTTAATTCTCTACAATATGATTGAAGTGTTCGTTTTGAGGCTTTTCTGTGTTAACAATCATTCATCTAGAGGATGATGGTCCTAGTTAATTTCCCCATAGTGTCTTTTTGTGGTGATAGTTGAGTCTTGAGCAACGTTTGGTTTTGAAATTACATTTCTGGCAGTAAGTAGTTTGGGTCTATGTATATGTGCGAAGATCGTCCATGTATTGTTACCAAATGCAATGCCTCTCTTTATGGTTAAATCTTCAACCTTAGGATCCTAATTATTGCGAAAATAAATCTCTTTCCCTATTAAACAAACATAATAATTTATTTCTCAGATTAATTCGTATAACCAAATACAATGTAAGATTTGGGAATCATAAATAAATCAAAATGTAATTTAAAGATCTTACAGAAAAACATAAGAAATGTTGACAAGCTAAATAAATAGATAAAGAAGAAAAGCAAAAGCTATGGAGGAAATTTTTTTAGCTATCTTATAGCTTGAATAATTAAAATTTGAGCAATATAAGTTGATTCTTTGCTGTAGCCAAACAGTATCGTATAGTGTTTGGCTACTTTTTGAACATTTAAATTTTCTAACAATCGAATGCTACTTTTTGAACATTTAAATTTACAGCAGATGTTCTTTAAGCTTTTGCCATACTAATCTTACACTCAGTCCTTTCCATTCCTCCACTGAGTCTACTCTAGCCAAACAGTATCGTATAGTGTAATTTTTACTGTAGTGAAGTGCGGAGTACACCTAGTTTGTAGCTTTGTTTCACTTAATGAATGTAAGTATATTTCAAACATAGTGAATATTGAAAATTGAGGATGGTAAACACGTTTTTTTAAACTACAGTAAAAATTCTAAATTAATCTTCGTTAAATTAAATAATATTAAAATTAATAAATTTTTCTGATCTCAAATTTCATCTGTGCAAAAAATGATACAAATTCATAAAATAAAAAGATAATATTTATTTTTAGAAAATTATAAATATGTTCCTATTAAAATTATAAAATAATAATTATATGTATATATTTTATATGAGTACGAACCTATAATTATATCATTTTTTATATTCGTAATAATATTATTTTTATATTTTCTTAACTCTAATATATTTTGATGAAATTTAGTAAAATTATATTTAAAATACATACTTAACCTCTAGGAAATATATTTATATACATCAAATATATAATATAAATTTTTAAAAAGTAATAATTAATAAATATACACTAAATCAATTACTTTTATTTTAGAAAAATATATCTTGAAATTAAAAAAAAAATCTAAATAAGAATTTTTTTGTAAATTAATAACTCTAGAAAATATCATAGTCCAAATATTATTAATTTCTATAATTTTTACTGTATACAGTATATACTGGTGATTTAAGCAAAATGTTATTTTTCTGTGTGTATAATCACTATATCTAATTTATCAAGGTTGTTATAAGGTAAGGTTTTTCTCGGAGACATGGACCGAGTTCTCGTAGAGCGAAAAGTTCACTAACGCAGGATTAATACATACCCATTCAAAAGGCCCATATTTAAAAGGCCCACGTACCTACTCGCGTACCGCAAGTCTCTCAAGTTTTATCCATTGATCCAAAGATTACTATTTTTGTATAGAGACTGTTTCGACTCCTTCATAATCATCCATAGAGACCATAATGGTAAATGCATTTGCATTAGTGAAAGCGACTCTTCCAAGAGTTAAGTTAATAAATCGTTGTCTTGGCCCCTTCTCATACACTTTCTTATTAGTAAGGGATTTACGGAGTGAATATTTACTTGTCTATGAACTTATATGTTTTCTTTCTCGTCTATGTGTCTGTCATCAACTTATATGTTTAACTGTTTAAATAAGCTAATCTACTTAAAGGAAAGTAAAGTAACGTTCAAATATTTTATGAAAATTGAAGACGTTTCCTTTGGTAATATTTAACGTAACTGCATCTTTTCGTTATCAGTATAAGTGGTGGTGGTGCCATGTCACGATCATCTACAAAATCTGATTGCGTTACTAAACCGACAAAGTCCTAGTATTAGAAAAATATATTCAGTATTTGGTAATTGGATTTAACAACGTCTTTAAAATGCAAACCAGCCAAATAGTCAGAGTAGCATATGTATATATATTTATGTCAAATCTGCTATCTACTTTCTTTGATCCAAAACCTGAGATTAGAGCACAAAAACGGATAACTGTCAGATTGTTAGTTAGAGCTTATCTACACATTTATTAGTTCATGAACCCTTTCTCTCTCACTCCATTTACTCTTCCTCTAAGTCAACCCTTACGAGTAACGACACACCACTATCACACATCAGTACACTTGTCGTCGTGTCTATATTATCTCGACTTGGTATCATCAAGACCGGTTTTAGACAAACCGCAAAACTACATATACGATTTAGATACTTAACCATGCACTTAACCTTAACCAGTAACCACTACTAAATAAATAATCATTTCTTTTGGCTAACGTTATCTTTCTTTGGTTTCCTGAAACTCGTTAGTTTAATGACTGATTATATAACCTGATAGTAAAAATAAGAACTTGACTAATGGTTTTAAGAAAGCTGAATTAATTTTAAACCCCTCGACGTATACTGTTTCTAAAGCTTCGAGAACAATTCAAATTTTGTTGTTGCTTTAAATTTTTATTCCTTGTATCTCTTTGCATAACATAGAAAGAGGTTGGTCGATGGTTAATTGCTCAAAAAGCTCTTATAGATTGGACGGTGCTTACCCATATCCATATGTGGCAAGCTTCTCGACCTAAATGGCTAGAAGAGCCACGTGGTAGCAAGTAGTTGTCACTTATTTGTATCATTGTAGTATGTTACGCTTTTATTTCGTTATCAGTATCACTGATTCAAATACACATTTCGTGATCAGTATCACTGATTCAAATACACATCATACTAATGTATATTTTCTTTAAACAATCAAAATGTATTTTTTTTGTCCCCATCCCTTATACACCTATATACACCTCTTTCTTTTTTTCGTCTGTAACAATCAAACAAATCCTTTATAAAATGGTTACGTGTGACTAAAATTACAAGTATTTATTAATGATACAGGTGGTCGCTACGCGACCGACTTAAATTCATTTCTCGACTTTTGAGCAGCACTGCAATGCAAACATTTTTCAATAAATTAAGAAAACGAGTAAAAACAGTTGACATCTCTGTATATCTATCTTTTTTTTTTTTAAACACTTTTTCTTTGAAACAAACTCTGTATAGCTATCTAAAACTTCGATTTTATCGTCGATCTCTTCTACTATATATTTTTTTTTTGAAAAGTTCTACTATGACTGTTTTCGTATGCCTTTTTACAGCATACATATAGTAAACTAATATTCAACTATTGCCTGATCTTAATATGTTTCAGTATTTATGTACTTAGAAATACATTCAAATATATACGAGGTTTAGAAGATAAGTTAAATCAGGAGAGTTTTACAGGCTTAAGATACTGAAACTTGATATTGGCTATTGAAAAATATGAGAAAACGTTACAAATTTTAATTGCAAGGTTTTAACATAATATTTTTTTTGGTAAAACATAATATATATATATATATATATTACACATAAATTACACTTTCATAACTTTATAGTTCATGTATATATCAAATTCTGTATAACTACATCTATACTGTGGTAAGAAAATAATGCAAATCAAATCTTATATGGAAACCTAATATTTAAATCAGTATTTAAACCTTCTTATATACACTAATTAATTCTCTTAAATCTTTAAAACCCCCATGGCCGGATGATATCTAGTATCAACAATGCATGTACTGACTAGGAATATATGATACAACACTATTGATACCAATGCGAATTAAATTATTGATTTATGCTCATTTTATACGATAATAATAATGCCAAATAAGAAAGGTTAACGAAAGAATGAAATATATATATAAAAGAAGAAATATAAAAATCCATACCTTTTTGTGGGTTTGTGGTTAAACAGTAACGCATGCATGAATTGACCATAGCTAGCTACGCTCTGCTATAACATTATGAATAATTTATTAGCAAGTAATATTCTCTTTTTCTATAAGTAGAAACTATTCTAATAATGCAAGATACGAAAGGTTGATCAAATAAGGAATGCGTATCAATCCTTACTACTAATATAAATCATTTATATGTAGATACTATTCTGTTTTTGTATAAACTATTCTGATATTTTCGATTATATTTTAGAAAGAAATCCTAATTATCTTTAATCAGTCATTCCCTAGTCAAGACAATGTTCGACGACAAGACTTTGACTTATTTAATTAAATAAAATAATCAAAAAAAATATTTAACGAAAAACAATAATAAAAACTCAATTTACATGCATACATATATGTAAATGTGAATATGCGTGTGGGTCTATATAAATACATTGTGAGCAATCGTGTGAATACAAGCATTACAATTGTGTGACTATCATCCAAAGCATAAAAACAAACACATAAAAATAATTCAAAAGGCCAGAAAAAGAAAACAGAAAATGGGTTTCTATCCATCTTCTTCCTGGTTTCTTCATCCTGAGCTTCATCATGTTGTTTCCAAGATGTCTTACTTTGATTCCTTTTTGTTCTATGTAAGTACATCGATCTCCCTGTCTAGTTACATCATATTCATCTTCTAGGAACCTTATTAAATTAGTAATCATATTTGTATAGTTGATTTGATGTTCTTTTAATTATATATATAGATTGTTCACTTAGTGGACAAGCTAGGCTTATGGCATAGATTTCCAGTGTTACTGGGAGTGGCTTACTTGGGGATACGAAGACATCTACACCAACGTTACAATCTGATACATGTTGGTGGAATCAACGGTCAGCGTTACGACACGGATGAGTTCTCTTATCGCACGGCTGATGGCAAGTGTAACCATCCCTCCGATGACTCTATCGGTAGCCAAGGCACTTTTATTGGCCGGAATATGCCTCCATGTACTTCTCAGTACGGCGTAAGTTATTTTCTCTTCATTCATATTCACAATTGCATTTACATAACATGCCATGAAACATTATTAAGTATTTGTAGTTTTGATCAAATTTTAAATATATATGCCGGGTTGAAAATAATAGAACCAAACTTCATGACGCATTTCACTTTCTTATCTCTACTCACTAGTGGTTGGAGTCATGATATGTGATCTTCTTTGCTTTAACTTTATGTATCTTTTTGTGGGATAAAGGTTTTGTTTGTTATGAAAGTGTTTTCTCTTTATTTCTGCATGATTAGCAATTCATATACGAAACTATTTGCTTTTATTTATTATGAATTGTTACACTATTTTTTGTTAGTCATGAATCATCACTAATTTGTTTTATGTAATTTATGATGGTTTGACTATTACAGATTTTGGATCCACATCCAAGTGTGGTGGCTACAAAGTTGCTAGCGAGGAAAAGATTTATAGACAATGGGGACCAATTCAACGTGATAGCTTGTTCGTGGATTCAGTTCATGATCCATGACTGGGTTGATCATTTAGAAGACACCCACCAGGTTTTCATTATATTGAATCTAACCCCTTGGTTACTCAACATTTACATTTATCTCCCTCAACTTTAGTTTTTCTTTCATAAAACTTAAAACTAAATATATTAATTACCATTTTAAAACCTCAACTAGATTGAGCTTAAGGCTCCAGAAGAAGTAGCAAGTGGATGTCCATTGAAGTCATTTAAGTTCTTCAGAACCAAGAAGGAACTATCCGGTGATCACCACAAATCTGGCTCTGTCAACACTAGAACTCCATGGTGGTACGTATATGCATTCAAACTCGCTCTTAATCACTGCTTAGTTGTTGTTTAATGAGTTGTATGTTGTGACACTTTTGTTCATAGGGATGGGAGTGTAATATATGGAAATGATGAGGCTGGAATGAGAAGAGTAAGGGTTTTCAAGGACGGGAAGCTAAGAATCTCCGGGGATGGTTTGTTGGAGCTAGATGAAAGAGGTGTTCCAATCTCCGGTGACATAAGAAACAGTTGGTCAGGTTTCTCTCTGTTGCAAGCCCTCTTTGTCAAAGAACACAACTCTGTCTGTGAAATGCTCAATGTAAGTTATGTTTTTGACTTTCTTGTGTTACAAGGAACCTTTGTTTATACACAATCACACCAAGTTTTGACTCTCTTTTTTTCAGGAACGGTATCCAGATTTTGATGATGAGAAACTCTACCGGACTGCGAGATTGGTGACATCAGCGGTTATCGCTAAGGTTCACACAATAGATTGGACAATAGAACTCTTGAAGACAGACACATTGACTGCTGGTATGAGGATCAATTGGTATGGTTTTTTAGGGAAGAGAGTTAAGGACACGATTGGTGCAAGATTTGGGCCAATACTTAGTGGATTAGTTGGTCTGAAGAAACCAAAAGATCATGGAGTTCCTTATTCTCTTACAGAAGAGTTCGTTAGTGTCTATAGGATGCATTGTCTTCTACCTGACACACTTATCCTCCGAGATATGAGTCCTCAGCATATAGACAAAACAAACCCCAAAATAGAACGAGAGTAAGACATAGTCACACATTGAATATTTTGACACAATGTTTAGTCATGTCCAAGTGCAGTTTTTGTTAATCTAGAAAGATGTTTTTAACAGGGTACCGATGACTGAACTAATCGGGAAAGAAGGCGGGAAAAATGGTTCGAAAACCGGGTTTGAGCAGTTACTAGTTTCAATGGGACACCAATCTTGTGGTGCATTGACATTGTGGAATTACCCTAACTGGATGAGGAACCTTGTGGCTCAAGACATCGATGGAGAAGATAGACCTGACCTAATAGATATGGCTGCCTTGGAGAGTAAGTCAAATCTAATCCTTGCTTCTTCGTCTTCTGTATGACTGTATTATCATCACCAATTCTCTGACCCATTGTTTTGTGTTCTCCTCAGTTTATAGAGACCGCGAGAGAGGAGTTCCTCGATACAACGAGTTCAGAAAGAATCTACTGATGAGTCCGATCAGCAAATGGGAGGATCTGACAGATGATGAAGAAGCTATTAAGGCTTTAAGGGAAGTGTACGGTGATGATATAGAGAAGCTTGACCTAAACGTGGGGTTGCATGCAGAGAAGAAGATCAAAGGATTCGCCATTAGTGAAACTGCTTTCTTCATCTTCCTCCTCGTTGCCTCCAGGTTTTTTTAAAAATATATACTAAATTTATTTAAAACATAGGTCTTTCTTGCATAACAAGGAACTAAACTCACTTCACTTTGTTTGATTTTACGATACTTAGGAGGTTGGAGGCAGATCGTTTTTTCACGACAAATTTCAACGAAGAGACGTATACAAAAGAAGGATTGCAATGGGTTAATACAACAGAGACATTAAAGGATGTAATAGACCGACACTTCCCGAACTTAACGAACCAGTGGATGAGATGTACGAGTGCCTTCTCTGTCTGGAGCTCGGATCCTGACCCAACCAGATGGCTTCCTTTGTACCTAAGATCCGCACCATAAGCTATTAGATGCTGCGTGGGACATGTGTATAAGTGTCATGTGGTTGGTTCTTTAGTATATCTTTTTTTTTGCTGGGGGATTTGGAGTTGTGTGACAATTCGTATATATGAATAAAAATCATATGAGCAGCAGAGTTTTAGTCATTAATAATAAATCAATTGCCCCAATTTCTCGTACTAGAACTTCAGTATAATTTCAGCAGTCTTTTTCTTTTTATTTCCACCCTCAGATATTACAACACATATAACCATGTTTGAACATGGTTGAGTATAGTGTGACATCATGTATGTCACACTGATCGTTGTAATTGTGGATTTGATGGTTTAAGCTAATCAAAGTATAAGACATCAGATGATAGAAAGAAAGTGTGACATCATAAATTCCTAATCCACCATGGCACCACCCTATAAACATAGTTTATAAATTGTCAATGAAATTTAACGTTTTCTACTTTCTCAGCAAGGGGGAGAAAAGTTTAGAGAGAGAGCCGAAGAGTAGGGCTGGGCATTTTATTCGTTAAATTTGATTCGATTCGTTATTCGTCCCGATTCGATCCGAAAATTCCGGATATCCGTAAACTTTCGAATCAAAGCAAATACTAAAAATCAATATCCGTTAAAATCGAAGCAAATCACAAATATTAAAATTTTGGGAAGCGGATATCCGATCCGATCCGTAAATATATAAATATATGNAAGATTATTTTTAACCGATAAGATATTCGTAAGTATTCGTAAATATCCGCAAATATCTGTTTATTTTTCGGATATCCGTTTTTCCGGATATCCGTATTTTTCCGAAGCAAAGCAAATACCAAAATCAGATATCCGTAACATACGAAGCAAATCACAAATACCTTCGAAAACCCGGATATCCGATCCGTGCCCACCCCTACCGAAGAGGAGAGAAGTGATAGGTGGGGAAGTGGTCCAGCACCCAAAAGAATGTGTGGCTATCACCAATTAGAATGCACCAACTTTTTTTAATCTCTTTATTTACGCAAACAAAAAAGCTTGCTTTTTTGGGATTGGATAATTATGACGTGGCTTAAATCACCACTATACCACTACTATTCACTGCAGTCAAAATTAGTCAAACCCGTTCCAAAAGGGATATGATCCTTTACGGTTTTACTTATTTTCTTAATCTGAACAACACGCAAGATTTATTATTACGTAAACGTATTAGAATACGCTTAAATTAAACATTAAAGTGTAGTGTTTTAGTAACTAACCACTTATTATTGTTTTCCCTTTCAGTAACTTTTCTCATTAGTACTCTGTTCATATATCACGTACGTAAGGCAACATACTCGAATGTTCACACTAAGTTTTTGGTTGTTGGCCCTGTCTCAAAAAAAAAAGTTTTTGGTTGTTGGCTTGCTGTATTAATAAATAAAATAATGTATTTATAATCAGGGAGTTGAGTGGTGACGTGTAATACAAGGAGTGGGCAAATTATTAGCAAAACGAATCTTTTCTCAATCAAATTTACTTTTTAAAGTTTTTGAACAAAACTTAAGCCGCCCGAAATTTAATTGTTGGCCAACTACCCTTCAGCATTAATATTATACAATTGTTTCCCCCCTTCTTTTATTGAAATACAAAATTCTATAAAAATAATCAAGTGTAAACTGTAAATAATTTAAAAGGGAAATCACATATAGTTAGGTGTTTTACGTTTGAAGATGAGATGAATATGAGAATGGTATTTCAAACTAGTGTTTTTTTGAATCAGTTCTTGTTAAAAACTTCAAATATTTGAAACAAATATTTATGTCTCTAAACTTAAACCAAGCAAGATTTGTAATGTAGTTGTTGTACTGATTAAGTGCCGTGGGACAAACGGTGCGACCGCCCCGGGTTCCTAACCCATGTCCCTCCATATATCAATGATTAAGGGGTTCGAGTTTTTTATAAATATATATTTTTTATATAGAAAAAAAATTAAAATTTTAATAACTAATCTTGTAAAGGGGCGCAATAATATTTCATAAGTATATAGTTTTATTTTCCTTCACAAAATATATACTGATTTGTAAAAAAAAGTAAATTTTTAAATATTGAATAAACATAAATTTTAAAAGGTCAAAAAATTTTTTTTGCCCTACGGCCCTTACAAAGTTAAGTCGGCCCTGTTATTGTTGTCCGTATGTCATAATCCCTGTTAAAAATTTGGCAAAGTACATGTTATAAAAATTTATATCTTAAAGTTTTCAGCAGATGACTATATAGTGGAAACAAAATAATGCAAACTCCCCATACATAGACTTAAATGTTGGTTTCTGAAACCTCACAATCGTCAATCGTGTGGATACAATGAGCTGAGCCGAGCTAGTAGAAATATTCCGTATAGAAATCAGGAATTACGATACATACTTAATATAATAATTAATTAACGAGAAATAAGAAAATGTGAAGTTAATATGTGGTTGATTATTGGCTCACAGCTCACGATGGATACAATGATTGACTAGTTGCATATACCACACATGCAAACGTGTGGTCGTCCATATTTTGACATGATCAATAGATACATAGCGGCAGAGATCTCTATTTTTGTTGCAACTTGTAACCATTAGATAGATTTATCAGATTTTATGTGTTCACTATACTTTTATTTGTAAGCACTACATAAGTAATGTTTGAGAAAATATACAGATGTATTTTGCATTCATTATACTTTTACCAAAAACATGTATACATTATTCACATTCTACAAGATACAAAATACTCCATTATAGAAGTAATGGACGACGTGGGCATATCTCAGGCACAGAGTTTATTATGTAGTTTATGTTTTAAACTTCAAATAAAAACTTTAAAGTATAATATTAAAGTTCATTCCTTCTTTACAACTAGAAAATAAGTGAGTATGGAGCAAGAAATTTATTCATGAAAAGCACTATGCTGTGCATATGTATATATATATTGTTTGATAAAGATATTGATGGAGCGATATGCTAATAAATCAATTAGACGTTGTTATAGAATAAAACCAACGAATTACTTCACCCACTAATTAATCGAACTTGCTTATATTCTGCAAGACAGTCCATTATGCTAGTATATTTTCTCACGTGCATAATAACATAGTTATCTTTTCATGCGAATATTCAGAGTTAAGTTCTCTTTTCGTTTTGTTTTTCTTTCTCCCTCGGAATTGACAGCTTATTAAACAATAAAGCCAATTTCTAGTGTCATTCTCAATATGGAAAGTTATAGACCTTAATATTGCTGTGACATAAATGGTTATTCCTTTATGCTCAAAAGAATTCTAAAAGATCCAAAACCACATTTTTAAAATTCTAGAAACCCATTTCATTCTCGCTTTCATTTTTATTTTATTTATTTTTTTGTAATAACGTTGAAATACCTTCAAAATATTTCTTACAATATGTACTTTAAAAATTAATGAATTGTGTGGGAAAGAGAAAAAAAAAGAAAGGAAATGGTGTAGAATGTAGATTCCTTACTATGTTTTGTAATGGAAAGAAAAGGGCAACCGTTTTAAATACCACAATTAATGTGAAGCCTGTCTCTGTGCAATTTAAGTATCATCATCCCCTTCTATCTTTTTCCTCCTCATCTTTTCAGGTTCACGCACTCAGCTGGTTGAAAAAGATACGCCTCTCCTTTCTCTTTTCTTTATATTCTTTTTTTTTGCATGTCACAGTAAATACTCTCTCTTTCTTTCAATTCTTCATAAACCCCCAAAAAAAGGAGTTAACTTCTTCAGAGAGAGAGAAGAGCCACCACTCTCCACTTATTTGTCGTCAAGCTCTATAGACAGAGAGAAAAAGAAAGTGGAGTGAAAACGAGAGACACAAGTTCCTTTTTTTCCTTTTTCTTTTTTTTTTCCGCATGGTTTTTTTCTTCTTTTGACAAAGAGATATATACTTACAAGTTGGTGAAAGGAGAGGAGAATTATAAAGGTTCATTGTACGGATAATTTTTGTCATTATTATTAATTTTCCTCTCTTTTTTAGCTGCTTTTAATTTTCCTTTCAGTGGGTTTTGGTGTCCTTTTTTTTTTTTTTGATTTATCGAAAAAGAGTGGCTGCGAAAAATTCATTTCCTTCGTGTGTTTGTTTAGTGTTTCTGAGGTTCTCACTAACTCAACCTCTCTGCCGTTTGTTTTTTTTTTTCTTTTTGTTAAATCCTTTTGTTGGGTTTACTTAATCAACGGTGTTTGATCGACAAGAAACATCATAAAGTCTCTTTGACTTTATCATTGATCGGGGGGGATTCGAACTCGGGGTTGGTGTGTCTCAAATGCCCGATAGTGTTCGGAGCATGAAGATGAACATGAAAAGCCTCCTCAAGAAACTCCACATCACTCCCAATCAACCCGATGAAACAACCGACGGATCATCAATCTCAACCAATAACAACAAGTCAAACGACGTCTCATCATCACCATCTCACCAGAGCCCTGAAGTCAAACCCTTTTCCGGTTTATCGAATTGGTTAAGTTCCGTTGGTCAAAGAAAAAGCCCAAGCCCACCAGACTCTTTCAATGCCAAGAACAGAGCCGTTAACAACAGTGCCGATGATGATGATCAAGATACGGTTTTGAGTAAGGATCCAGAGGTTGAAGAAGAGTATCAGATACAATTAGCTTTAGAGCTTAGCGCTAAAGAGGATCCTGAAGCTGCTCAGATCGAAGCTATGAAGCAGTTTAGTTTAGGCTCTTCCGCTCCTGATAACTCTCCTGCTGAACTCGTTGCTTATCGTTACTGGGTAATCTCTCAAAAAAAACCAGAAAGTTAACTCCTTTACTCTGTTTTTGTACCCAAAGTTCTCAACTTTACTCTGTTTTTGTACCCAAAGTTCTCAACTTTACTCTGTTTTTGTACCTAAAGTTCTCAACTTTACTCTGTTTTTGTATCCAAAGTTCTCAACTTTACTCTGTTTTTGTACCTAAAGTTATCAACTTGACTCTGTTTTTGTTCCTAAAGTTCTCAACTTTACTCTGTTTTTGTACCCAAAGTTCTCAACTTTACTCTGTTTTTGGTTTTGAATTTTTACAGAATTACAACTGTCTTGGCTATGATGATAAGATCTTGGACGGTTTTTACGACTTGTATGGAGTTTTGAACGCTTCCTCAGCTGAAAAGATTCCTCCTTTACTTGATCTTCAAGGGACCCCTGTTTCTGACGGTGTGACTTGGGAGGCTGTTCTTGTGAACAGGAGTGGGGATTATAATCTGTTGAGAGTTGAACAGATGGCTATTGATATTGCGGCGAAGACGGAGTCTGTTTCTTCGTCTAGTTTTGTGAATAGTGAGCTGGTGAGGAAGCTTGCTGGTTTAGTTGGTGATTACATGGGTGGGCCTGTTGTTGATCCGGATAGTATGTTGAGAGCTTGGAGGAGTCTTAGTTACAGTTTGAAAGCAACTCTTGGGAGCATGGTTTTGCCGCTTGGTTCTCTTACTATTGGATTGGCTCGTCACCGTGCCTTGTTATTCAAAGTAATAACAAAGGGTCTTCTGTTGAATTTCATCACAGTTCAGATTTTCCAGTTTCAGTAGAAGATAATTTTATCTCACTCTCTCTTTATATGAAATTTTGTAGGTTTTATGTGATAGCGTTGGTGTTCCTTGTCGGATAGTCAAAGGACAGCAATATACCGGTTCCGAAGATGTGGCAATGAACTATATCAAGACCGATGATGGCAGGTAATCAATACATTAACTTCAGGTGTTATGTATAGATTCAACAAGTTTCCGTCATTCATGTATAGGTTTATGTAGTGTGGTATAGATTAAGTATCAAGTATATTGCTATGCTTGAAATATGCATATGGACATAGGTTTATATGGACTTTTCTCATCTGCATCTCCCGAAGCTAATATACTGAGGCTTTATGAAAGAAACTTTTGAATTTATGAAATACTATTGTGAATCTCAGGGAGTACATTGTTGATCTTATGGGAGATCCTGGTACGCTTATTCCAGCTGATGCAGCTGGACTACAAATAGACTATGATAAACCCGTCTGCTCCACTAGTTCTAGGGACAATGATTCATTTCATGCAGCGTCTTCCACCAATGGGACTGATATGTCACGTCAACAGAATGGAGAGTTGCCCACAGGGGAACATCGTTATGAGGAGAGAAACCAAACCGCAGGAGGAAGAGATCTCATTGTTCGTTCAAATATTTCAAAGGATGTGGCGAATGTTGAAAAGGCTCCAGTTCAGAATCTCTCTAGCAGGCCTATTCATTCTTTCACTCATATGAGATCACCTTCTTGGACTGAAGGTGTGAGCTCCCCAGCTGCACGGAGGATGAAAGTCAAAGATGTTTCACAATATATGATTGATGCTGCCAAAGAGAATCCACGGTTAGCTCAGAAGCTTCATGATGTATTACTTGAGAGCGGAGTTGTAGCTCCCCCCAACTTATTCTCCGAAGTCTATCCCCAGCAATTGGATGCAACCGTTGAAATAAAAAATTTGAATGAAGCCAAGAAAGAGAAAGAGAAAGGAAAAGATTTAGAGACAGGTCATCAGCAAGGAAGACACCAAAACGATCTTGCTCCAGTGCGGTTTTTGCCTCCATTACCAAGACTGCATCCTAAAGCAGATACACATGATCAACATGATCATGGCAAAGTTGTTAGTCAGTCTGATTCTCCACATTCTGAAGCATCTTCTACAGAATATGCCAGAACCGTACCTGCTGCTGTAGCCGCAGCGGCTGTGGTTGCATCTTCAATGGTTGCAGCTGCTGCTGCCAAGACTGCAAACACAGAGTCCTCCACCTTAGAACTCCCTGCTGCAGCTGCAGCCACGGCCACTGCTGCTGCAGTTGTGGCAACAGCTGCAGCCGTATCCAGGCATCTTGAATTAGGGTCGAATAGCGATGGAGATGCTGGTTCTGGTGGACATGAGCCTCAAGGAAGTGGGGACTCCCCTCATGGACCAAATTCAGGTGAGAGAATATCTGACAGATCTACTGGCAACGAAAGTTCCAAGTCTGATGCTACACTTGATGATGTCTCTGACTGTGAGATTTTGTGGGAAGAACTTACTTTGGGAGAACGTATTGGACTCGGTACTGGCTTATCTTCTGTTGTTGTCTACTTTGGTGTAACTAGCTTTACAGAAAAAAACTAAATTATTTACCTCTCTGATACAGGATCTTATGGAGAAGTGTATCGGGGAGATTGGCATGGGACTGTGAGTATTATATTTGATTTTCAATTTGATACTATGAATTAAATTTCATGGAATGCTATAACTATTAAGCTTTCTGATTAGAAGTGGATGAAGAAATACTTAAGCAATTCCGTAGTTTGAGTTCCATGTTGTTGAAACTCTTGGACTTGGTAGGAAGTGGCTGCCAAGAAGTTCCTTGATCAAGATCTTACTGGAGAAGCATTGGAGGAATTCAGAAGTGAGGTACGAGCCTCTATTCTAGTTGTTTCCTTATGCTGATGTTTATAATTCTATTCAAACACATGTTATATATTGTTGTAACATATATCATTTCAATCTGATTCAAGGTCCAAATCATGAAAAAGCTTAGACACCCCAACATTGTTCTCTTCATGGGAGCTGTAACCCGTCCACCGAATCTCTCAATTATTACAGAGTTTCTTCCTAGGTAATACTATGATATTTGCAGGATTGATTAATCTGATATTAAATGATTATCATGTCTACAATGGCATTCCTTTTCCTCATTCTATTGGCGTGTGTCTCTGTTTTTCTTTATTAGATATCAACTATTTTGTCACCTATAATACCAAAATCTTCTTTTTGCATCAACTTATATATAGCCTCGAAGATGTAAAATCTAGAGAAAGTAATGAAAGATTAGTCACGTATGGCTTTACAATCTGCCTTCAAAGCTTCTGGTTGTGATTTTTTGTATTTTATCTTTACAATAGTATTTTATCATATTTGTGCAGAGGGAGCTTGTATAGGTTAATCCATCGGCCTAATAACCAGTTAGACGAGAGGAGGCGTCTGAGGATGGCCCTTGATGCTGTATTACTCTTTTTCTCTTTCCATTTTCACACGTTTTGATCTCTGTTACCTGAGTATAACTTTATCGGTTCTTTCAATATCATCCAGGCCCGTGGAATGAATTATTTGCATAGCTGTAATCCTATGATTGTCCATCGAGATCTCAAGTCCCCGAACCTTCTAGTTGACAAAAACTGGGTTGTGAAGGTTAGCATTGTCTTCATAAATTTATATTAATTAGATGATGTGATATCTTACTTAACACCAATTAGTGTGCATAACGATGATGGCTTTGCATATGTATCAGGTGTGTGATTTCGGGTTGTCTAGAATGAAAAACAGCACATACCTCTCTTCAAAGTCAACAGCAGGCACGGTAAGCTTCTAGAAGGACGTTACCATCACCCGTGTCTTAGCCATCTCTCTTTGCAGTTATCGTAGTTGCCTCTTTGTAATCTAAGTTAGGCTTGAATCTATATGCCTTGCAGGCTGAATGGATGGCTCCAGAAGTGCTTAGAAACGAACCTGCTGACGAGAAGTATGATTATTAGTTTTTTTGGTTTCTTTTTTCCCTCTGCTCGTAAAAGTTCTTCTCTGTTTCTTTTTGAAGAAGGCCTAACCGTCAGGGAAAATTATACCTGAAACAGGTGCGATGTTTACAGCTACGGTGTGATTCTGTGGGAACTCTTTACGTTACAGCAACCATGGGGAAGGATGAACGCAATGCAAGTTGTTGGGGCAGTTGGGTTTCAGCATCGACGTCTTGACATTCCCGACTTTGTCGATCCAGCAATTGCAGAACTCATTACTAAATGCTGGCAAACGTGAGAATATATATAATATTCTGAAAGTAGTAATGATTAAAATTTCACTAGACCATATCTCAATTAACAGAGTCTTGAATCTTTGACGCCTTCATATAGTATTGCTCTTATGGTTGGGCTGATAAATCTAGTGTCTTTTTTTTTTAATGTTTACTAGGGATTCAAGGTTAAGGCCAAGTTTTGCAGAGATTATGGTTACTCTAAAGAGGCTACAGAAACCTGTAACAGGTTCCAACATCCCAAGACCAGTCCCCAGTACTTCTTCTTTAACAACTGAACAAGAACAAAAGGATTGATAACAGAAGAAAGTGGCATATCTTTCTTTCAGTGTTTAAAGGAAATCTGAAGAGAAGAGCTACAGATTTTGCTTCTTCTTTTTTTCCGGGTTTTTTGGTTCAGCTTCAGTGGGACTAGAGCTATTGAAAGCAAATTCATGGAGGATTGAAGGAGATCATTCTCACGTATTGTGTGTGTGTGTGTGTGTGGTTGCCAGTGAATTATGTTTATGTTCATGCGTAAATTTTCTACTATTCTGTTTTACAAAATTGAAACTGTAAAAAAAAGGGAGAGTCAGAGAACCAGAAAAGCTTATTTGTAAACTCGTGGATAAAGAAATAGTTTGAGAAATGAGAACTCTCTTGTCTTACCGAAGCTTTCATAGTTCATTGAATGCCTTTTTTAGTTTTGTAATCTTTTGAAAAGCACACGAACTGTCCGTTGATTGCTTTATATTCATATTAAACTCTAGCCTCTTTGTTGTATGGATTTTGAACTGTGTTAGGTACTAATGAATCTACAAGTTCGAAGTGGAGCTACTCCAAGCTCAGGATACTACATGGAACAGAAACATAACAAGTGTTTGACGGTACATTTGGAAGCGAGGAAGAAGTCATCGCCGATGGTAAATGGACTCAAGATCATATACGCAAGAAGGTAACAGAGTATGTTCTGAGGGCAATGAAGTAAATGTATCTTTTCTGGTGTGTTTACTACTGATAAGTAAAACAGCACGGTGTTTTGTTCGCAGCCACACAATTTTAAAAAAGAAAACGGCCGACTTTTCTTAAAAAGGATAACGAATCGCTTCTCTTCTTCTATCCAACAAGTTCTTTTCCTTTTCTCTGTTTTTTTTCTTTTACATTTTTGGTCGTTGGATAGAATGGGAACGGTTCTAGATTCGCATTTCCTGGCTCTTACTGCCATTGTTACTGTATGTTCTATACCATGTTGAATCTCCAAGCATATCAGATTAGTGTTCTAATCTGATTTCATGATTTGTGCAGGTGGTTTACCAGTTCATATTCTTCGTAATCACTGCTGTTTTCAAGATCGATCAAGTCACTGACTTTGCAGGTAAAACCTTCATTCCCATATTACTTTTTTTCTGCTTCTGTTTACTCTTACGTAGGAGTCAAGAATTATGTTTTTCATTTTAACTGAATATATATATATAACTCTATGTTTTCAGGAAGCACAAACTTCGTTATACTTGCTGTTCTAACTCTTGTTCTTAAAGCCACATGGCATTTTCGCCAGGTGAATCTCATCTCTTCTCCTGTGATATCTATTCTTCTCTGTTTTTCCTTACATGTTTTGTTTTTGGTTCTTTGTCTCCTCATAGATAGTCTTGACTTTGCTAGTTGTGGTATGGGGTCTTCGCTTAGGAACATTTCTTCTAATGAGGTCTCTACCAAGACACTTTATAAAATCTTTCCTTACCTCTATCTTATCATAAACACCACAACAATATCTCTAATCACTTTGTCGTTTTAGGATCTTGCAATGGGGTGAAGATCGACGCTTTGACGAAATGCGTCAAAATTTGGTGAAACTAATAGTTTTCTGGACTTTTCAGGTAATAGCTAAACCTTTGGTTTCTCTTACTTGAGCCAGTTTTAACTTAACTTCTTTGTTTCCTTCCATGTCAAGGCCGTGTGGGTTTGGACAGTGAGCTTACCTTTAACCATCGTTAACGCAAGTGATGGTGGTGGAGAATCTCTTAAACCCACAGATGTTATCGGTTGGACTATGTGGGTTTTTGGTTTCTTGATTGAAGCTGCAGCTGATCAACAGAAACTCTCTTTTAAAAACTCTCCAGAAAATAGAGGTAAATGGTGTGATGCTGGTCTCTGGAAGTATTCAAGACATCCAAACTACTTTGGTGAGGTTAGTATTTCTATATATAATAAGAGAACTCTTTGAGTTCTTTTTTTTTTGGGGGTTAAATGTATGAATAGGATATGTCATCAGATGTTACTGTGGTGGGGAATCTTTGTGGCTGCATCGCCTGTTCTACAAGGTGGAGAGTATCTTGTTGTATTGGGACCAGTCTTTCTCACTTTGCTACTTCTATTCGTCAGTGGCATACCTTTACTCGAGGTTCTCTCTCTCTCTTTCACTCTCTTAAGATCATTTTGTGAATGGCATATGGCTGATTTGGGATATAAATAGGCTTCGGCTGATAAAAAGCATGGTCATTTGGGAGCTTACCGATTCTATAAGAAGACAACAAGGTTTAACTGTTTATGAACTTTGCTATAGATAACATTTTTAATAACACCATGAAGATACCTAATCTGTTTTTATCTTTGGTTGATCTTTAGTCCTCTGATTATTTTACCGAGAGGAGTGTATGGGAACTTACCAAGGTGGTTCAAGGAAGTCTTTCTCTTCGAGTTTCCATTTTACAGCCGGAATTTCCCTGAAGAAACTGCTATTTAGTAAGCATCTCTGTTCAGTTTCAGTTCCAAAGATAACTTCATCTTGTGTAGTGTGTGTGTGATGTGTTTGGCTTTCTCTTGTTGTATAGACTTACTTGCAAGAAAGTTAAAGGAGCTTCCAAGAACGGCCAGAAGTGAGTACTCTAATTTCTGATATTTTTTAAAAAAATTATGTTATTACAACATTCTCTAGAGTCTAGATGAGAGATTGTGTAAGGAAAGATTTCTTGTAAGAAACTGAATATGATTTGCGTGTAAATAAAGCATCCAAAGCAAACATATGAAACATCACTGACCGAACCGGTTCACAGGTTAAACCAAGAAAACCAAAATTACATTTAATTATTTACTGGAAACAACATTTGGAATAAGAAGAGTTTACTGGTTGAGTGGCACTGACTTCATCGATATTCAAAATCTCTTTACCAACGGGAACAACCGTACCGTTTTCATTACCGTTAACATGAGTCATTGTAACGCCGTTAGATTTGTTGTCCGAAGCGATCCTTTGAGTTACAACCTCATGTATACGTTTGATCATCACTAGGAAAGCTTCTTCAACGTTAACGTTTTCTAAAGCTGAGGTCTCGAGGAAGCAAAGACCTTCTGACTCAGCTAGATTCTTACCTTCCTCTTCTTCAACTTCTCTAGATTGTCGGAGATCGGATTTGTTGCCGACGAGGACCACGACCGTGTCGGGATTGGCGAACTCTCTGAGCTCGAAAAGCCATTTCTTGATGTTCTCGAACGTTGCTTTTCTTGTGATGTCGTATATCAGCAATGCTCCTAATGCTCCACGGTAGTATGAACTCGTAATTGCTCTAAATCTTTACCCATTAATCACACAAAATAAAAGTCTCACAAGGATTACTTGACCAAAAAGAATCACAAGGGTTAGTGATAATTTGAATTATGATAAAACTATGCAAATATTTTTTTCTCAAATCTTATATACTATTATATTCGGTCCATAATAATTTATGTAATATTAATATTTTCTTTTTATGATAACCGTGAAGAACTCGAGATTTTTCAGATCCAAAATCTAATTATATATACGAGGTATTGTATTCATCAGATACACAACTAATCAATCAAGGGCGAAAGTTTATGAAATCTTTTTGTCACTAGTCCAACACGACTTGGTTTCATAAATGTATGTTTAATGGTTTACTACTATGTGTTATATTAGAGAACATATTTATTTTATAAACTAAAATGTTTTACAAGGCTCAAAGCCGAATGGCATCAAGTCACCTATACCATATATTATATTTTACGTTTTGACCAAAAACATATTCCTCAAATTATTATTTCCACAATTTTGACCACCTACTCTTCTTATTTTATTTTTATTTAATTTATTACATTGTTTAAGTATTTTCTGAATGTTGTAATAGTAGTATTAAAAGAGTATGTCGAAATAAAAGATCAAAAGAAAACATACAAAATAAAGAACAGTGTAGATAAAGTCACGAGGTCACAAAACTTATGTCCGTGAGTTTGGTTGCTTTCAAAGATTTCATTTTAAACACGGAACCCGCATTTGAGCTTAGTGCGTTTTAAACGCAAACGCAAAATAATATTGAAGCACTTGGTAGTTGTAGTTACCTTTCTTGACCTGCCGTGTCCCAAATCTGAGCTTTGATGATTTTATCTCCAACGTGAACGTTCCTGTAAGCAAACTCAACTCCTATGGTTGGTTTAGAGTCTAACCGGAACTCATCTTTGGAAAATCTTGACAAGAGGTTTGATTTTCCAACGGCTGAGTCTCCGATCAGCACCGACTTGAATAGGTAGTCGCATTCTTCATCGTATGAATCTTCCGCCATCTGCCCGATGACAGAGTTCTTGTGATTAGAGTTTGATGATGACTATACGTTACAACAAAGAAGGAGAAATGTGAAGTATAGAATCTGTAGACTAATAAGAAAAGGAAGAAATGAAAAGGAAAGTTTCTCCGCTGAATATGGCTTTTGATTGAAAATAGGACTTAGTAATATTTTATAGTCAAAACATTAATATTTTGAAATAGTGACATTGTGACAATGTAGAGTACTTTTTTATAGAAGAAAAAAGAAAAATAAAATGGTTTGGAAAAAGATATAGGGATCAGATAAGGATGGCGTCAAAGAGATTGTAATAATGTTGTTGAATCAATGGCATCGAGTATTAATTAAGTATTTGTTGATTAGGTTTTAAGATTAATAAGAGAGTGATCACAAATAATAAGTGCAGCTGTTGGCATGTGAAATCATGGATTACAGCATAATGATAATGTTTTCTTCCTTTTATGATTGTTTTTTGTTGGGATTTACCCCCAAAAAAAATTACTAAGAGCATGTTTTTTGTTGGGATTTACCCCAAAAAAAAAAGTTACTAAGAGCATGTCTATCGCCATTCCTGAGAAACAAATGTGTAACTTAATTTGTTGATTATAAAATTTGATTAAATACTATGTTGTTCAATAATAATCAATCATACCTATTTCCTATTGCATGTTGACATTTTCACTAGGTTCACACGCTGATAAAGTTGTTGTAAACCAAGTTATGCTTGACACGTGTTATTTTGTGTCACTGCAAAATTTTCATAGTACTGCATATGCTATTGGTTAGATTAGATACTTAGATATAAAATATTGATTGATTATGTCCTGCAATATATAATTGCAAATATGAACTAAATTACGTGATAGTAAAACAATATATGAAATCAATTTGTTAGCTAAGATGCTGATAGTGAATAAAGGGTACCATTCTTGTTTTTTGAGTTGAAAACAAGTTACATGACTAAGGAAAAACGAGATCTGTCAACCGATTTTAAGTGGTAAGATGGAGAAATCAGATGATTGTACCATTATTTGAACTATGAAACTGACATTTCACGTGTTTCAGTGCCAGATTTTATATGTATGTGTATCCTTGACATATATGTTACCTACACTATCATGTACAGTGTCAAAATTGACAAGGTTTTACTTCATAACTACTTAGTTAGTTCGTAGAGGTTGCAAATATCTGAGAAAATAGTGCTAGTACCTGAAGAGATTAGTTGTGTAGATAATGAGGATGCAAAATATTAATTACACTATCATGATTAACCCGAAATTCTTAAATACGAAATTCTTAGTGAAATTTAAAAAATAGTTTTTTAATTAATTTTGGACTAATCATGATCTTACACACTCTATAGTCCATCCATAGTCCATATGATCTTACACACTCTATAGTCCATCCATAGTCCATAGAAAATATTCACTTGACCAAAAAAATCTCAGCCTGTTAATGAATCTATTTGGGGTAAAATATGGGCTCTGAGATTGCCCATAATTGTTAAAGTGACAGCTGCCTCGAGTTCTGAATCACAATGAGTTCCTTTGGTCCGTCCACCAAAGGATTCTATCTCCAACAGAAATCGTGTGGGCCTAATCCTCGGCGTGATTTGAGCCCTTTGTTTCGGTTTTGACATTCATTTATTATTTGTGTTCTGTATTTTCTTTTTAAAAAATCAATATTCTAAAATTTTCCCGGCCACTCAACTAGCTATCCACATCAGCAGTTGAGTGGGTCCCGCGTATATAACTTTTAAAAGCTTATATTTTTTTTCAAAATGAATATGAACAATGAATACACTTTAGCAAAGTGGTAGAAGACATTTAATTAAGTCTGCAAGTGTGTGGGTTCAAACCACGCATCTGTTATGTATTTTAAAAGTTCTTTCGTTTGGATTATTATCATATGGGCTTTTTAGTTTTAAATGTTTTTATGTTTTTTTTCCTCTTAACTTATTGTTTAAAGCCCAAAATAGTGGAAAAATCCTAAAGTTTGACGAATTCAAACCCAAAAACAATTAAAAATAGATCAAAAAACGAATATCCAAAAATAAGAAAAAAAAACGAGTCTCACACGGCAATATCATGTCCTAATATATATTTTTACTGTGAGAACATATTTCCTAATATATATTTTCAAAAAATTATGTATGTGAAATAAAATAAAATAAATAGTTTTGTTATTTATAAAATAACTATGTATTTTCTCTTCAATTTTTAATAGTTACTATAATTTCATTTTTATCATACTCCGGCGGATGGATTTCCACAGTCGATGACGCCGTAAAGAAAAATACCACATTATTCATGAACAAAATCCAAACTTACAAAAAAACATATCCAAACCTATCTATTGAAACCCAAACAACAAATATTAGCTTAAATTAAAGTTATTTTCAAATTGATAAATCGTTTACTACAAATATAAATATTATAAATAAATATTTATATCAAGTTTTGACATCCGATATAAAATCTATTTCCAACATAAAAAACAATATTATAATTTAGTTATTCCTATCAACCTTATTTCGCATATAAATAACATTTAACACATTATATATACAATATTTTCACTTTGCACTCTTGCTACATTCTTTTCATTTCATCATTATTTGGTATTATTAGAATAACTAACTAAACCAACAACAACAAAAAAAACACAGATCCGGCCCCGCGCTTGCGCGGGGGTTATGCAGCTAGTATTATAAATAGTTTACTATTTAAAAAACAAACTTTTTGAAAAGGCTGTCCACACTCCACACATATAGCATCTTTAATTGACCAGTTATCGTAGAAAACAGTCGTAGTGGAGTCAGTAACGAATGGTATCTGATTCGTTCATACAAAAAAAACAAATAAAATTCTGCAAAATATGACGATTTTCTTATTTTTTTTGGTCAAACCTTCCATTCATAAAAAACTTAAACGATAACAGAGTTTACAATCTCAGAGGGATTGTTAGAGTGCAGAAATAGAGCAAGTAATCATACTTGAATTGCATTCGATTTAATGCAGTCCTTTCATATTAGATCATCCAACCATCCATGATCCAACTTATTCCAATGCAATGCCGAGAAAACACAAAGAAAAGACACTAAAACCCGAAGTTTTAATATGTATATCGATTGCTTATATCGCAAGTAATCATACTTGCATAGGTAAGACGTTCATCATTCCATATATAGGAAGAGAACGATTTGTTTTTTAACCTAGAAATGCAAACAAGTATCATACAATGTTATATATATATATATGTGTGACAATATATCTCATTATCCAACATAAAAGTTAGGGCAAATTCGGAACCCTAAGCAGATCCTTGCTTGTTGAGTAGCTCAGGTGACGACATCATCTTCTTGAACTCCTCGAAGTTAACGTTTCCATCGCCGTCAGTGTCAACACGCCCAATCATTCTCTCGCAGTCTTCAACAGAACACGTCATACCTAGACGGTTGAGAACCTTGTGGATCTCAGAGGACGAGATCAAACCGTTCTTGTTCTGGTCGTAGAGATCGAAGGCTTCACGGACCTCTGTGGCCGAAGAGGACGAGCGGCAGATGGCAGCGAACTCCTCCATGTTAATGAAACCGTCGCGGTCGATGTCGATGTCGTCCAAGACTTGGTTGAGCTCAGCTTCAGTGTAAGAAGTTCCCATGGATTTGAACACGTTGCCGAGCTCAGAGACAGAGATCTTGCCGTCCCCGTTGGCGTCGAACTGGTTGAAGACTTTCTTGAGGTCCATGTCCGTGGACGATGGTTTGTTGTCGGATTCGGGATTTGCGCTCGCCATTGTTCGTTGTAGTTTTGTGTTGTGTGAATCGTTGAGTTGTGAGTTTTGACGTTTATATAGAGTTTTGGCTTTCCCTTGATGCTATCTTTTGTCTTTCTTTATGAACGATGCTCAATGCTTTTGTATTTCTGCCCTTCGAAAGCTTTTAATTAACTAAATAGGTTTATTGCTATTTTTAACTAATTTTGTGTGTTCCACAGAGGTTCGTAAATGTTTTGACTGGTAATAGATTATAATCAATGTTGGAGTTACAGTATTATGATTTTTTTATTGACATTATACAGCATTATGATTTAATTCGCTCAAAACAAAAATATGTTACATTAACAATCTACGAAGAAACATCTGAAAAAAACAACAAATGAATTGACACTTAACAAGGTTTACAGAGGATGAAGAATGAGATTTTATTCCCGAACAGTTTCTACATGTTTTAATAACACTCAAATCTTCTAACGGTTTCCTTTGTTAATTATTCGATTCTAGTGTTCCCCTGTATATAGTTGTATTAGTTAGTGTAGTATTATGCTCTTCGACTGCATGTAGTGGGTATATCAAGATAAGGAATATGTACTAAACGTCAATCTCTGCCTCCATGGAGGATCTAAAACCAATCGTGAGAGAGACATTTTCCATTCAATATGACAATATATATTAATAATTGAAAACAGTCCCGAATATTACACTATTTATTGAAACATGATTGCCATCTGATATTTTTATGAACACTTTCTTGAAACCATAACATATAAAAAAAAAACAAAATAATAAACCACATGGACCACCAACGTAAGCTTCCTCCTCTCATGCATAACATATTTCTATAAAATTTGTTAGTTAACGTAAAATCAATGTGAGTCCATACTACATACATGATACATGTTTTAGTAATAAAAATTATGGAGGGGTAAGCAAACTTGGCATCACTAAAGTTATTAAACGTGTAATGCATGTTCTTTGTAATAAATCGATCAAATCTTAGAGCATCCCCATCAATGAACCCCTCTTGGGGTTCATCATTTCCTTTTTTTATTATTAAAACTTTTTTTTTTTTGATTTTCTTTTTTTGTAAAAAAAGAATAGACCAATCGCGGGCCGCCACGTGTCATAGGACCCGCGCTACAGTGATGAACTCTAGGAGAGAGGGGTTCACTAGAGAGAGCTTTAGGAGAGAGGGTATCGTAAGGTTTGATTAGTTTAATATTTTTTTTTGATTGAAAAATGTGTGAACCCCCATCTAACCTTTGATGGGGGTGCTATTAAAGGGATTAGCTCTAGATCAACCAAAAATAAGATATAGAAGAACATTATATTGGAAAGCAGTAAAAATTACGTCATTAAGCAGAAAAAGTCTTAATAACTCAAAAGAGACCTCGTACCAAATAACAAGAACAAATTTTATAAACTTATTCTTAATTATATTTTAAAGCTAATTATAAGATCTTAATCAACGGCCACGGTGGGGGCAAAAAGTGACGACGTAGTTAGCTTTGGTACACGTAGCGATGCTTGTGGGGTCATCATAGGCATAGGAGTAAGCCTTAGGACAAGCTACTTTGAAGATCTTTGAGTAAGCCGTGGGCTTGCACGTCTGTGGGTTACCGAACGAGCCGGTACAACAGTAGCGTGGTGAGTTAAAGGCAGAGCAAGCACTTTTACAGGCTACTACCTGTTTCCCGTTACGTGACCGGACTTGTAGACCAACCGGACACATTCTGTTCAGGTCGCTAACGCAACCTGCGTAGGGACACTTCCCTGTGCCTTTCACCGGCATTATCGACATGGCTAAGTTATATCTGTCATGTTTATACATTAACAAGAATATTAGTATTCAAGTGTAACAAAAACAAAACCTAACACATAGACCGAATCAAAACTTTGAACGAGACATGAACTAATATTTGTTATTTTTTTATTTACACACATACCCATCAACGAGGCTGACGTCATAAAAGTCCTGCTCATGGCCAAGAGTGATCTCAGCTAGAGTAGCTGGAGGTACACCGCCGGCTCCGTTACAGAGGAGAGAACCACCGCAGTCTCCGGTGGCGCAATGACCACGGCCAGATCTATCGAAGGAGCAACCGTGGCGGCCCCAGAACCGACCGGACCAAAGAGATGGAAGTTGGAGAGTGTAAGCTCTTTTGGGGGACAGTTTGAATCCGCCACCAGCGAGTAACGGCTGACCGGAGCTAGCTTGGATACCAGGCCAGACTGTGTATGTGCATTTGTTGTAGAATATTACCGTTGAAGCTTTGTTATCACATAAAGTAAAACCACAATGTCATTAGTTTAGTATGATGTGATTATTTAATAATATGAATAAGATTTAATCTACATGTCTGAGATATAAAATGAGTAAGAGGTAGAATACCTGAAGCGTGTGAGAGAAGAAGGAGGAGAGGGAGGAGGAAGATGGATGTTGAAGAGGCCATTGATGGTTCTTTTGATTTTAAGTGGAGTAGAAGACTGTGAACCAGCTTCTCATTTCTCATTGCCTTTGGGGATTTTCTATTTATAAAGAGAGAAAAAAAAATAGGGTGCCCTTTTAAATAGTTTATAAAAATATCAAAAATGAAGAGGGAAAATTATGAAATGAAATAGTAATAAGAGTTTCAAATAAGCGATTATCATCTTTTATATGGATGTTATTAGTTTTTTGAGCTTACAATATCTTATGTCACAGTATTGTATACGTAGTTGTTATTAAGACAAAGTCGCTAACGAAAGTTTGTTCTAGATAACATAGAAAAACACATTGATTTAGTCTACTCATTTTCGATGTTTGTCATTAATACGAGTTTATTTTGAATAGTTTACAAATAGAAATCAATTGTATATTATTACCATTTAAAAATATTTATTTCAAGATGTTTGATTGCAATCACAGTTTTGTTACGTTTGTACCCGTTATAATATGATACATCAGTTCCGAGAAAAAATGGTCCATTTGCATTGCGAAAGAACCAGTGTTCAAGAAGAGAATATGTGTTTTGGGAATGTAATAATGACAAAACTTATCTCATCTCACGAGGATGTCAGAAGACTAAAATTTTACCACCCGTTGAACAAAAAGTTCAAGGGTAAACACTTTTACACAGTTACTAATTTCAAAATTCAATATAGTTTACTAATTTCTTAATGGGTGTTTAACTATTGCTACTAGATTTATCGAAATGTGGACTAGTTTAAAATTAAGGTTCACGTGATATTTTGGATTCATGTGACAGAAAAAGGAATCCAGCTACGGACCAGTGAGATTTAAATCTAGAGTTTTAACTTGTTTTTTTTAAAATCTGGTTTTTACAAAAGAACAAAGACTGTGAGGAAAAATAAATAAAAATGTCAGTATTATCACAATCGACATGAAAAGATGCTCCATGAAAGCGGTGGTTTGAAGGCCCTCTGATTAAAGCAGGCATATCGATTAATTTGAAGAGGAATTGACAATATCATTTAATAAATCTTACTACTAACTATGAAATATATTGGAAAAGTCATGTTCAAGCTTCGAAATGTCATAACAAAGGCTGCACGTGATAAAACAAAAACAATATTACAATTTTAAAAATTTGTTGATAGTGATGTTCACAGAACTAATTCACCTTTAATTTTTTTAACAATCATCCTCCGGCGGTAAATTCACAGTTTAATGTTAGTTAATGTATCAGGAGATACTAGTAAGCATTATCAGAAATCTCCAAGGCCTGTAAATGAGATCTGGACTCTAATATAAATGGTTATGCTGACTATAGATTAATTTTGGATCAGAGAGGGTGAAGTCTAACAACACTAACATTTAAAATATGTGTTACGATTAAAATTAATTATGGAGTTTAAATTAACTGATCGTTATTATATCTCGAAACAGGAAATCAGAATAAACTAAAAAGCTTGAGAAATTGATCATGCGAGGAGCTTTGCTTTGATATCTTGAATAATATTTGGTGTGATCGTTTGGTATGACTTCTGGGTCGGATGGGCAGTATCCCAAAACACGTAACTAGACGCGTCTAAGCACGGCATTATAGACGTTGGTGTACAACAACATCCATCAGCTGCATCGACGAACCCTACATTTTCCAACCAATGATAGCTTATGTTACATGTTATCAATATCTATATATATACATATTGTAATCTAACGTTTATAAGATTGTGTTGTTAGATTATCTCGTCATTGCCTGAAGCTTGAGGGTTGTTGATGAGGCCCATAAGAGGATTGTACATATCTATGTACATGAATTTGGCACCCGGAAAGGTTGCGCCAAGATTGTCAAGTTCAGCAGATAATTTTTGGTTAAACATAGCAGCTGCTTGATTTGAAAACATTTCACATACTTTGAAAAAGTTTGCAATCGAGCTTCTTGCTCCCGGTAAGCAACCTAGCGGTAGTGTTCCCATTACCGCAAATTTTCTTGCACCCATATCGTATAGACTCTTCGAATAACACAAAGAAAACAATACAATATTTTAGATAACATTTTTGACGAAAAATGGTCACATGACTATGTTATTTTTGAATTTATTTAGTTTGTACCTTTATTAGATCATGAGTCCAAGTGACTAGGAGATCAGTGTATGCTGGAAGAGTGTATTGTAACCTTCTACTTCCCGTAGTGAAATATGTGATAGCTATATCATTATTCCCCGCTGAGATTAAATAAACAGCATTTGATATAATTTCACTTGTTTTCTCTTGACTTCCTACTACACCATTTAGTCTAGTGATATAGTTTTGGAAATCGCTGACTTGATCTTGCACCCATATAACCCCCTAGTACATTCACAAACACAAAAATGTAACAATGCATTACAAATTTTTAAGCAAATAAAAACTGATTATATATTAATTTTAACAACATACATAATGAAATTTACCTGTATCCTAGCAGTTATAGAATCAAGTCCAGATCCACCAGATGCAAAACACACACCAGTCACTAGATCATCGCTCGAGAGGGCTGGATTACGATATGCTGGTAAGAGATTCTTCAATCCCAAACCTTCGGCTGCACACAACGATATTACCGCTATTAGATTAATTAAATGTTCTAAATATAAAAAAAAATTATTTAATTAATGTTGAAAAACTAATTATATTAGCAATAAGAAGTGCTGAGATTAAAGTATATTACCAATCATATCTGAAAAAACTCTGCCGTTTCCAAATCTTCCGGTAGGTAGTCCACCTAAATCTCTACCGTATGGAAAAAAATTGACCTTGGTAAGAGTTGCAAGAAGATTATTGTTGCCTGTGTCTAATATTGAATCTCCAAAAGCGAAAAGTGCTGAAACCGTTGATTGTTGGGCAGTACCAACATAAAATAGACAAGTGAACACAAATGCCACTAGCATTTTGGACATCATAACGAAAATGTTCTAACTAAAAGTGATTGGTTAATCACTGGAAATGAGGATGTAAACAAGATGTGTTAAAGTGATAGAGAAAATAGACAATAGTTATATACGATGTCCTTCAAAGATATCACATAATTTGAATTCAATGTATTGGTTTTAACAAATCATATCACTGTATTAAGATTGTGGAAAGAAATCTCAAACTCAATGAATATGCCATTATCGATCTAGCAATAAACGTATAGTATATAAAATGTAACAAAATGAGAAAGATAATACTATCTCTAGACGTTTGTTGAAAAAAAATATTACTATCTCTAGTGAAGCAAATGATCTGCATCAGTTCTTTTTTGCCATTGACAGTTGGGAAATCTTTCTAAACAATTATAGCAACCTTATTAGTAAGTTTCTCAAATAGTGTTCTTAATTAAAAGTATCATTATTTAACATTAATTTACTTATCTAATTAAAATTAATTATTTTGATAAACTGAACCAATTAAAATAAAAATCTGGTGTCATAAATTTTCAAAGGATTATAATAATATCACTGTTGAGATATTTTTCCTTGTCTCTTCCTTAATTTTCTTAAATTTTTATATTTTTTTGTTAAGATATCCATTGAGTATCAATGGTTTCAAGGTACTCATAACATTCTATCATCTGTCTTTGACTAATTTTCAAGTTCAGTACAAAAAAGAGGATAAATACAACAGCAGGACACACGTTATATTTCTCCTCAACAGAAGTCAACACTAGATTGGCCATTTTCAGGCTCGACTCTATAGAAGATCTTTGTTTTATTTATTTACTAGTAGTATGTCCGCGCTACGCGCGGATTGTTTAACATTTGTGGCGCGGATTGTTTGACATTTGTGTTATCAAATTTTTAAATTATTTTGTTGGTTTGTTGTATAAGTTAGAATTATGGTTATGTGTTTTACTATTGGTGTTTATGGATACGTATTCAAATAGTTGGATGCGGCTGACTGATGCAACTTCAATTATNTACTAGTAGTATGTCCGCGCTACGCGCGGATTGTTTAACATTTGTGGCGCGGATTGTTTGACATTTGTGTTATCAAATTTTTAAATTATTTTGTTGGTTTGTTGTATAAGTTAGAATTATGGTTATGTGTTTTACTATTGGTGTTTATGGATACGTATTCAAATAGTTGGATGCGGCTGACTGATGCAACTTCAATTATTTGTATATATGATATTAGAAATTTTATATGTTAGAGACTGATAAGATACATGAGCTTTTTCGTAAAAAATGATAATTTATTTTTATAGCAGAGAAATAAATTTACCTTAAAGTATTATTTACATAGTACATAATTTTTGTTGTGTTTTGAATTATAATATTAAGATATAAATATTGAACAACATGTTTCAAATGAAATAGACAAACTTATTCATTTCCTTGTATAAATAGCAGTGTTTGCGTCTTTTGTTAATGATGTTTGGGTAAATGAAAATTCTACCTTTATTTGCTTGTAACGGTGGACTAACAATCAAGTCATTGAACTCGTACTCCATGCAATATTTTTTTAAAAAGTGGTTCCAAAATTGAGTATCCACATTATGGTCTTACTATCAACCAATGTTATTAATGTATACTTCTCCAACATAGTTTTCTCCCATGCATAGCATGGTTATACGTAAAGATAAAATGTATCTAGATATATTTTTTATAGATGATGGAGACCAACGTTGGTTTTGTGTTTTTTTTTTTCAAAATATTCTTGAACGCTTTTGATATAGTAAGCTTCTGAATTTCTGGCTAATAAACAGTTGGTCATGAGATCATTATACTTTATTAAAGATGCAAGTGGATAGATGGTCAACAGTCTGAGTTTTAGTTTCTTGTAAATATGAGTGTCTTTAGCAGCTTCAGTTAGTGTTGGAGATAACTGAGTTGGAGATAATTGCACGATATGTCTTGTGATGGCAAAGTCGAACCTGCACAAATTATTATTAAACATTTGCATGGAGCCTCCACTTTTATGTGCCCCCATTTTTTTTTTCTGTTGGTTTAGGTATAGCTAGTTTTCAATTTGAAATCAATCATTTTTTTAGGTATCATAAGTTTTTTATAAGCTTTAAAATAATTGTACACAATAATCAGCAAAAAACCATAAAAAATTTCACACAAAAGAGATAGCCATAGCTTAAAAACTTAAAGTGTTGCTTTGTTATTTATTGACTCGATGAATTTTTCTTTACTGACTTGATGGAGATCTCTTTGTCGTAAACTGATGTGTTTAAGAATATATATATATATAATAAATTATGTTTTATAGTTTTTCTATTAGCTTAATTAAATTAGATAATACTTTAAGGAATTTGCTTTATTATTTTGGTGATTTTGTTAATATAATGGTGTAAAGAACAATCACAACCAGTATGATAAAAACTAAAATTTCCCGTCAATACACTGAACCAAACCAAATATAAATTTTCATACTTTTCAACATATGAGATTAACGTAACTGACGAAATATAGTTTGTGTTGTAATATACGATATCCAACTTCTTCACACATGTATATCAGTATATGTACTAAGCGACAATTTACTATGAGTTATAGTACCACTAAAACCTGAAAAGGTAAAAAAGAAACTCAGATTTAATAGTTAGATTAGTTTTCTAAATGAAGCTATAAATGGAAATTTACTTCCAGTGAGATCATTCTTCTCAAAAATGAAAGGTAATTTTGTCTACATAGTTGTTAAAGGAATAGGTGCATTGTGTTCTTAACATATAATATAATAGCTATATTTCTTGTTGTAGTGTTTATTATGGTCATCAACATAATTATTCCCCAACCCAATTAAGTCCAAAAAGATTAGATTTTCTTTCTTTGATGTTTCTCATTGCGGATGAACTTTAAATGATAAATTTACATTAAAAGGTTGAGTAAGTTTTTTTTCCAATCAATATAGACATTACATTTTAGTCTTAGGTTTTAGTTTTTATAGAAGGAGCATCAAATTAACTTTACATGAGGCAGTTTCTACTATGATTTACCATCAATCGTCAACTAAAAACTGGCATACAAATTCATATACTAACAAATAGTCAACTTAAAAGGAAACACAATCATCTAAAAAGCATACTTATTGCTAAAAAATATCAATAAAAAGCAGACTGCTGCGAAAATATCATAAACAATAGAGTGTATAGATAGATAGAACTCTAAAATTATTCACTTTAAAAAAGAAACAAAAATTCAGAGCAGGATGGAGAAGAAACGTCATTCCTCTGCTTCTTTAAGTCAATTCAAAAATGGCTCTAGGATTTTCACAAAGGTTTGGCTGCAACATTCACCACAAAATTTAGAAAAAACGTCACCCAAAATCCTCCGAGGCCGAATAAGTTTTGTCTTGAAACCAAGTTGGGAGATGAAATATCGTACATAATTCTCATGGACTAACATGTTCTCTTGAGTAGTTTCCTTTACAGAACAAATGGAGGATGGTGTCTTCAGGGAGAAGATAAAGGTCACGACCTTACTTTTTTCTGGGAAAAATTGCGTCCTCATGGCATTATTGCATTTGGACTTTGTACACCAACTCCAGCTCTAGCTTTATGCTGCTGCAGAACGTGTTCAGAAGTGGAGACCATGTTTTCACCTAGTCAACAACCAAGAGATAAATAACGTGACCATACATAAAAATGAATAACATAATAGGTATAATGCAACTTTTCTCTAGTATGTACTGACTTAATATTATTCACAACAGTTGATAAAAAGAGCTTACTAAAGAAAGTATGGCTGCTATTATAAGCTAACCAAAACATAATATCACACTTGTATCTTTGACACAAGATATATGATAATTGGTTTCTCTTGGGTTAAACGCGAAATCCTTTTCTCTTAGGTTTCAGAAACGATAAATGGATTCGCATACTTGAAGGAAGAATTTGACACTACAGAAAGGATTAATCAAAATGAATTCAAAGCTAAATCATCAACAAAATCAGAACTTTATTTCAAATTCAAACTTTTTATCTACACATATCAAATCTATGAATCTCAAGATGGATGCAACAAAACTTGGTAATCATTAACAGTGAGTCTCTCTGCCCAAAAACTTGTATTGGAGATAAAGACACAGTCACTGAGAAGTTAGTTATCAATGAATAAGCTAGAAACATACGCAAAGGTCTCATCTTTATCAATCATATCATCATTGTATCAGCGATCCTCAACGAATCGATCAAAACGAAAATTGAATGGATAAGGAACGAACCGTTAAATATACTGGAGCAGGTAGAAGATTTAGAGTAGCCGCATGTGGATGTATTGTGCCCACAATCTGCGACTATGATCGGGGAGATTCCGATATAATTAAATTAATGAGAGTCAACGGTGGTTCTTATAAATCTAAAACCTTTTCCTCTCATTTTCTCTACAATAGAAATCGGAATGAATGTATTCTCGAGAGGGTTAACCAGAATCAGAGGTTCTTACATTCTCATCAATCAGCAACATGTCAACAGTTATTAGTTCCCGGCTCTGTTGCTATTTCTGGCCTCCCAAAAATGGAGTAGTCGCACCTCCCCCGTGTCAGAGCAAAGACCGGCCTTCAAATCAGCGAGGAGAGTGTAGGAGGTCGCCATGGCAGGAATCGGTAGTTAGAACAAAGTTTTCTTCTGGATGTTGTTTGAGTTGCGTTGTTCATGGTTGGAGGGTGTGATATTTATAATCGAACACTTGCCGGTTTGTGTGGTAGGCGAAGAGATGAACTAAATGCGTCCCAGTGTGATAATAATGTAAAAGCTCAGAGTTAATTACATATTAATGCGAGGCTGAGGCGTTACAGTGTTGAGATCGTGGTTTGCGTTTCCTAATTTCAAGCGATAAGTCGATGGAAGAGGGAATGAAGAAGAAGCAAAGACCGAAAATATTTTGGACCTTTTAATAAGATTACAAAATCAGCCCAGCCCAAGAAAATATACAACCGGTTCAAACCGTGATTTAATTAAGACAACCGGACAAATACATGATGAAGTTTGGAGAGTGTCTTGGTTTAATGTTGGGCCTTTAAATATTGTAAAAAAAAAACAGCAAAGCCCAATATACTATAGAACATACCAATACGGAATTGAAAAAGAAAACCGGATGAGACGCAATTGAATTAAGATTGAATGCTTGGGTTAACTGCTGACGTGGCTTTTTTTGCCCCACCCTATGATGCTGAGTTGGACACCCTAAGAAGGGAGAAAACTCAACTTTATTGTATAAGATANATTGTAAAAAAAAAACAGCAAAGCCCAATATACTATAGAACATACCAATACGGAATTGAAAAAGAAAACCGGATGAGACGCAATTGAATTAAGATTGAATGCTTGGGTTAACTGCTGACGTGGCTTTTTTTGCCCCACCCTATGATGCTGAGTTGGACACCCTAAGAAGGGAGAAAACTCAACTTTATTGTATAAGATATCAATCCCATAAGAAATATCAGAAAGAGCAATTTTATCCATAGTATCTAAACAAAATTCTCAAAAATATATAATAAATAAATATTTTAAATTAGTAAGTCGAATATCTCAAAATTCAATAAAAATCTGTTCAATAAAACCATTTTAGTGGAGAGATAAAATATTTTTATTAATTATAATAACATATGAAAAAGAAGATGAAAAAGAAAAGAAGAAATTTTGAAAACTTTTTTAAGAACCTGCTTAGTTACTCTAAAAATAATTTGTGACAAAAAGAAGAAATTTTGAAATTTATTTTAAGAACTTGCTTAAAACATAATTAATACAAATTTTTTAGAGTGGAATTATTAGCTTAATGTAAAATGTGTCTCTTAACTTTTGAATAAGAAAAACTAAAACTAAGAAAAAAGTTTGGCTGAGAAAATCAACATATTTTTTTTGAAGTAATTTGTTGAAACACTAATCAGTGTGAAACAAAATCATTTTATCTGAAAAGTGCGGACACATTCGCGAAGACGTACGTGTCATTCTCTGATGGAAACTGATACAAATAATTGTAACAAAAAGCGACTGATTGGATTCGGATATAGTAAGGATAAGATAAGAAAGGGTCATTTTGAGAGGAAATCTAAGGTCGGTCCACTTCGAGTTTGGTATCACTTGGTCAGTATAGTTGAGCCAGTACAATTTTATATGGAACGTGACTCTCGTGACGTTTATATCATTGGGTTAGTACAATGATTTGTCTATATATACACAAAACAAAATATGTTTTAGACACACTAAAAAAAGGAAAATAAATAAATATGTATACAGATGAGAAGAAGAAAGACAAAAACTATGGCTCAATCTTTGTCTACTGCGTCCTCTGCTTCGTACTCGTTGCGGAAGTTGCAAGATTCGCAAAACCTTATTACAGCAACTTTGAGAACCTAATGGAGACAGAAGCACTAGTAGTAGAAGAAGGATTCGTGGACGTGATGAACTCAGGGAAACTTCCATGTCCCTTCAAGACATCTCACTCTGCTTCTGCTAGGAGTCACGAGAAGCTCTCGGGACTAATAAGACGAGAGGATAGAGCTCGTCCTCCATCTTCGTACTGCGTCAAGTTTCAGAACTTTGCCACTATGGCCAAACTTGTCAAGGACAATGGTGACAAGTACGAGTCACGTCCTTTCTCCGTCGGTGGATACAACTGGTAAGCCTAAGCCCATATATTAGCGTCAATGTTATTTCAAATTGTTTGTGGACCCTATTAAAAATATTAATAACGTTTTTAAGTGCTATAATTTAGAAAGTTAATAGCTCTATCATTTAATTTTTATTTTAAAATTATAGACCCTAAATTTATAATATAAATAAAATTTTAAAATTCAAAAGACTAATTTATATACATATTGAAATAATATTTTCATAATCTAGAGCTTGTTCGACCGTTTCATTTACAGATACTAAAAGACTGACCTTATAAGCATTGACAAATCACTGTGACACTTGCTCTGAATCGCATAAAGATTATAATTGTAAATGTCTTTACTCTTTAGTATATATATTTAGTTTGACCTTCTTTTTGCCTGAAATGTTACAAGGACCTTACTAATCTACCCTAACGAGAACAAGCCAGTGGGCTCGGGTGGATACGTTTCAATGTACGTAAGAATCGATAACTCAAGCCTCATAGCCAACCCACACGATGTGTATGCAGAGATCACATTCCTAACCTATAAAAGCACTATAGACAGATACCATTTTCTTCAGGGTACTAATTAATCTCTTGAAACTGTGAAAGATTTGCTTAATCTTTTTGTAGTTGCTTCGAACTAACTAGTTTTGACTTGTGTTACAGAGACTGATGCGCAGCGGTTTCATTTGTTTAAACAACAATATGGACAGCTAAACTTTCTTGAGATTGGTTACTACAGAGATCCAGGACATGGATTCATTTTCGACGGTGGACAAAGTGTGTTTGGTGTTGACATCCTCGTTGCTAATCCCTTTGAGAAGTGGGAGGTTTTCTCTTACGAAGAGAACATTCGTGACCCTCTTTTCAATTGGAAGCTCACTAAATTCTCTACACGTAATCTTGACTCTTACACTTCTGATCCGTTTTCTTCCGGAGGAAGAGACTGGTGAGTGGTGCTCTCTCTTATGTTACACTCAGGGCCCGGTCTTGAGATTTTGCGATTATAGATAATTTAGTAAGAATTTATAAATTTTTACTTGAAAATCTAGGGGTATATATATATATATATATATATATGTATATGTATAAAAAAAATTATAACAATTAGAGTAATGCTTGCTCTATTTATGCATGTTTAGATAATTGGTATGTGATTGGTGTGTACGTAACTGTGTAGGGTATTGAAAGTGTATCCAAATGGAGTTGGGCATGCAACTGGTAACTCGTTGTCACTCTTTTTGATAAGTGCGTCTAATGAAAAGGGTTACGTGAAAGCCAAGTTACGAGTTATTGACCAGAAACGATCCAACCATTTGGAGAAACAAGGTTTGGTTTCTACTAGTGTAGACTACCTAAGCTCATTTGTAAGAGAAAATAATAAAAAAACATGTTTCTAATCAGTTCTTGATTTTGTTTATTGTAGTGGAGGGATGGCCTAACGCAACAGAAAATGGATGGGGCTTTGAGAAGTTTATATCTTTCGCAGATCTCAAAGACTCAACCAAAGGTTTCCTTGCTGATGATGCCATCAAGTTTGAAGTCGAGATCTTGTCCTTCTCTAAAACTGACACTCTCTAATTAGGGTTTAAGATCATCCCATAAATCACTCTTTTTGTGGGCTTTTCTTTGGTTAAATCTTCTGATCTCATCAGCTATGTAACTCACTGGTGGCCAAGTGAATCAATGTCACTCTGGTTCACTCTTTGTTTCTGTTCAATAATAAAGCGCTCAAGGCTTCCCTATATCAAACTTGACCATACAAAACAAGACAGGACTTGTAATGTAAGATGATCGCAACGCTGAAAGTTATTCAAGAAAGAGGGTATGTGTAAGGGGTCTGTTTTCAGATTTTTTCCAACAAACCTAATGGTATGCATTAGATTTTATTTGGTTTCGGCGTTTGCTAATAACAATCCAACAAGGCTTCGACAGCCTTCTGATGTTTTAATGTGTGGGCTTAAGACATGTATTACTCTGGACTTTAAAGCAAAACAGGCCAACATATTTTGAAACATCTTCCAACTTCAAAAAAGTTACAAAGATCCACGAAGTCCCACCAACAGCAAAACATAAACACCTCCATTTGAAAATTCGTGTTACTGTTATATTGCTTACAATATTTAGATATGGAATATATGATGGTATGTGTGTAGGCGACCATGTGACTGCTCCTCGACTTCAAAACCGCATTTGTCTTTATCTGTTGGGTTATCAGAATTACACTACTCTTTAGAGACCAGATAAGATAACTAGTAAGTAGTATATTTTAGTAAAACCCTTAGGGGTTAGTAACTTGAAGTAAAGTTTTCACGTGCAACAAACAATACTATATTCTTAAGCGCGACAAAAAGAATGGCAGTCACTCATGACTCAACATATAATATATACAAAAATCTAGATATTGTGGTGATATTTATACACTGTATTTATTTAGTGCATGTTTACATAGCAGATAATTTTTATGCACAAATAAAGGTCTTAATCCATTTATCTTTTCAACTCCAATCTTACTAAAAAAAAAACAAAAGATGTTTGACTAGACTTCTAGCTCCAAACGTCACTTGAAATCTTGTGTTGAAAAGCTTATAGCCTATGAAAAGAGGTCGTGGTTTCTAATTGATCTTCATAGCGTATCTATAACATATGAGTCATATCTAATCTTCCCGAAGGAAGGAGAAATTAAATAAAACCAAATTCTCGAAAGTAACACAAAACTACTAATATTGTGTTTTTGAGGAAATTAAAAAGAGTGAAATTAACTAAAAGCCAGGAAAAAAAAGAGTGAGAAAGACAAATGACAAAAAGCTCTCAAAGCTCTGTCTGGGCGACGGCCGACCCAACATCGCGTAGTGGCAGGCACACACTAAATTCTGCAACTATGGCCATTGAAATGACATTCCTACCCTTTTGCATTACCACGTCATCCTCTTACACTTTGCTTTTTTTGAAAATATATGAAATGATTTAAAATCTCAAATTAAATACGTAAATCTTTTCCGTGACGAGATTAACGACAACCTCGATCCTTCCAATCTCTAATGTAATAGCATCACATTCTCAACTGTTGAAAAATAAATATCAACTATTTAGTTAGGTAATTTCCGACTAAGATCTATGATTGGATCTGACTATATATGTAACAAAAGGTAAATACATTGTGAAATAGAGCAGAGAATGAACGCAGATTTGGAAGCTTCTGAAAACATTTCTGTTGAGTTTAGTTAATAAGAAACTGAAGTGACATGGCATAGTTTCTTCTCTTTTGTCTTTATTCTCTTTCTTCTCTCAACCATTTCGTTTTGCTTTTTAAGCCCACAAGAAATGTAAATCCGTTTAATACAAGAAGAATAATAACAGTACTATTAACTGGAGAGGAGACCTGTAGATATTACCTGTAGATATTGTAATAGCGGCCAGAGCCTAGACCCGTCTCATGCACCAGAATAGATTATAGATGGCTGATTATTACGTGAGGCGTGCCATAAATCGAGGGCCTCTTTCTTCAACTGATTTCTTCTCTACTAATTATTACACCATGCCGTATTCACCATGATTTTTTTTCACAAAATATACTATATTTTACCAATTAGTAACAAATTTAGTTAGGTACTTCAAAAACAATCGTCAACTTAAACATCCACATCTATGCGGTACGTAACGTAATGATTATGAGAAGAATAAAAAAGAATACAGAATACATACACGAATCTTGTAAGATTCCACAAACACAGTGAAGAGGAATCTTGACCAAGAACGTACGCATGCACCAAGTGCATACGTCCAAACCAAATATCTTCAAGTGCTCCAACAATCTTTCTAAGTTTAATCGAGTGTTATGTTGAATCCAAACTCCTTTGTTTTCACATGCTTAATGTATATTTCACGCCTTGTAAACTAAAAGTATAATAAAGTTATTAAGAATATTCCATATAATTATATTTGGAAAAATCCGAATCCCCCAGAGAAGTAGTCAGTCATCTTCTCCGACGTTGTGGAAAACCGGATTTTTCTTTAAAGTTTATCAAATTTTGAAATCTTGCAAATGAAAACAGATATATCAAGTAAACTTAATTTTTTTTGTAAAAATTAATTATTACTCTATTTATTTTTATTGGCTTTTACACAGCAATCTACTAGAAATTTGAGTTTTCCAATTTCTTAACGTTTGAATTCACTTAAAGAGTAGCAACGCTTTTACAAATTTCCTAGCAACCTACCAAAAGAAAACAGGAATTAATGTTTCATTAAAATTAAGAAAAGGTAAACTTGCCAAGCTAGAAACTACTTCATTCCTTTCTTCAAGAGCTTCTTTCTCCAAATTATCTTTAAAAGCTTTTCCTAAAACTGCGGTTGGTTTTCAACAAAAGGGGCATTGTTCTTTGCACATTCCATAACCTCCCCACAAAAGATTAAAAAGGGCTCCTGTGTTTTTTTTTTCATACTTGGTAAATATCTCATCATAGCCCCAAGAGAATGTAGTAGAGAAGCGTTATAGGCAAGGCAATCAGCATTCCAAATATCACACTGCGACCAAAAGAAACAACACAAGTTAGCACAAAAACCCAAACAATAAAAAATAGAATAAACTTACGCAGTGCTAAGAATGGAAGGATGCACATTGTACTCCTTAGCGAACACAAATGGTACAATCCCTTGTGGCAAAGCAGCCTGTTTTTTAATCAATAAAATAATTTTCAATATTTTTTTTTAAATGACAATACGCCCAAAAGCCATGCGAACACAAACAAATACATAAAAGCATTTTTATTAATTTATATATTTAACCTTTGCTTATAAATTAATGTCTAAGAAATACCTGAATGATGGCGACGCGAAGAAGAACGCCACGGAGGCCGACGGCGTAGGAAGCAACAACCATAACAGCAGGTCCGACGAGAAATCTCATACCGGCCGCAAAAGCTGCTTTTCTATTTCCACACGCAATTATTCTAGGGTTCAACGCCATGAACAACCCTTCACACATTTAATAGAAAGGCAAAAATTAAACAAACAATTTAATACAATGGCTTCTTGCCTTTTGTTTTGTTTAATTTAAAGTTCTACACTTTAGCAAATACACTGCAAAAGAGTGATACAAAAATAATCATTACAGCCACTATTCCACTAACATATAACATCATCATCCCATATTCATTTTCAAAAAGGTTATTATTTAAATAGATTGATGGGAACTAGATAGAAACATAGTTCATTCTGCCAAGAGAGACATGTTATGATGAAAAGCAGAAAACTGTGAAGCATGCTTTCTGCAGTGAAAGCCAGTTTAGTTTGCTTTTTCTATACAAACATGTTTTTTTTCTAGTAGTTATGAAAAGTAAAAGGCAGAGAGAGAGAATTATGCACTCACATGATTTACTTCTAAGTTCAATTTTAAAAAGGAATGAAGGTCAGAATAAAGAGGACAATTGACTGTTCTATATGGTAATTATTTTGATATAATAAATGTAAAGAGAGGCAAAATAAAAGAGAAACTGACCAAGACTGAACATAGCCATGCCTAGACCTGCATCTGAGAGTATTGAGATAGACTTTGCTATAATAGCTGGCATTTCAATGTTCCACCTGCACAGACCAAATCAATTTAATTCCCAAAGATCTTTCTCAAATCTTTTTTTTACTGCAGTACAATCAAAAGACTGACCATTTTCTTCTTATCAGGAAACTTCAAAAAAAAAATAACAAAACTAAAAATATGAACGTTGGTGTAGTTTGAAAAAGAACTACATACTTGAAGGAAACGAGAGACCAGGCGATTCCAAATAAACTGGAGTAAGAGTTGGGGTTACGGATGAGTTTCCTCCAAACCATAATGAGTATGAGCCTAGTCATCACACTTGTTGGTGGCATAACCTTTGCCTGCTGCTGCTTGTTGCTTATGTTATTACCACCGTCTGTAGCTAGAACTTTGCTATCATCATCTTTATTACCGAAACTAAACTCTTCCCTATCCACTTGTTGGTTGTCTGAAAATATATTAACCATCTCAACTATTAAAGACCAAAAAATTAATCAAGGCTCAAATCTTTACTGTAAGTATACATGAACAAAAGACTATACTAACAACTTAGGATTATAACCAATTAAATTCAAGAGAATTTTTGTAAATAAAATTAATTTGGAGTATACAGAAACTAAACAGTAAAGTAGTTGAGGGACCATACCGTTACTATTCCCCTGGGGTACAGAGATCTTAACTTCCTTATGATGATCGTTATTACCGGCGGCGTAGTCAACGTGGTTGTTACCACCTCCTCCGCCGAACACGTCAGACACCGGCGAAGCGCTTGAGCTCCAAACAAACATATGAAGATCTCTTCCATTCCCATCTTGCCCACTCCCTCTCTTCCCACCAACCACCGGAGCATTCCCCTTCGCCGCCGCACCTCCTCCGCCGGTCTGCGGCGAAAACATCCCCGGATTCGGCGCCGGATAATGCGCACCGCTTCCTCCCGACTGGTGATGAAACCTCCCACCTCCGCCACCACCCGCCGCCGCCTTACCTCCGCCGTCTTCCTCGTAGTTAGACGGCCGAGGAGTTGGTCCTTTAGAACCGAACACAGCTTCTCCGGGACCAAAGTTCGAGTTCCGACCACCACCACCACCACCACCAGCTCCCATCATGGAGTAAAAATCAGTATGGTTAAAACTCGAGCCACGTGGCGTCGGGTTTCTAGAGCTCTGAAGCGAATAAATCTCCGCGTTGGTTAGATTCGAAGGCCGAGGAGTCGCTGACAACCCCTGAGACCTCCTCGAGTATATATCCGACCTCGAGGCGTTAGAACGCCTCACGGTTACATGAAGCTTCCCATCTTCTTTAATCTCAGCTTCCGTCTCAAGAGGCTGCCGACCGTCAAGCGACATAATGTCGGAATCCACGTGGATCGAGACAATGGAGCCAGCAGTGTCGGGAAACTGCTCGGAGATCAAGAGCTTCGCGCCACGGTACTCGAAAAGAAAGAGCATGAGTGTGTACCATATGATGCATTGAAGGACGACGATCTGAACCATAAGCTCGCCGGAGAACTCGCCGTACATGCCTTTGAGGAGAGGTATCCCCATGACGAGGGTGTTGGGGAGAGTGGTGAGGGAGAAGAGTGTGATGGTCCAGTCCAAGGAGCCGTTAGGGCTGAGTTTGCACCAGAGGAAGAGGAGGCAGAGGACGATGATTTTCTGGAGGGAGTCGGCGGCGAGGAAGCGGAGGTTCATGGCGTAAGGGTTGTTGGCGGCGATGAAGTGGAAGGAGAGGAGAGGGACGGCGAAGAGTGCGACGAAGCGGTTGATGCCGGAGCATTGGTCTGGTGTGAAGATTTTCCACCATTTGACGGAGCCGTAAGCGAGGATCATGGCTACGTATAAGGGGACCATCGCCGTCATGACGTGGTAGAAGTCCGTCGCCGTTATCATCGTGTGTGTTTTGTCTTGAGGGAGAGAGAGAGAAGTTGTAGAGAAGCAGTGTGGAGAGTGGGGGAAGAGTAAAGAGAGTGTTGAGATGAGACCACATTTTTATATTCCCTTTTGTTTTTTTTTCCTCAGTTGAAAAATATCACATTTGCTAAAATATTCTTTTAAATTTTTTAATATTTTATATTCTTTGTTTTGTTTTTTTCTTTGTCGCCATTCGATATATTATGTACTTTGTATCTATTTTTATCTTTAATAAGCTTTATTTAAGGGTTAAAATATGGTAATTATTCAAGTAGATGGAGTAAAATGGAGTACCAAAAACTACTCTGATGGGTTCTTTTCTTTTTTGGGCAACTCTGATGGGTTCTTTTCTAAATTTTTTTTTTCAGATATATGATTTTCACGTTGATGCATATATATTATTATATTTTCTAAAATCCGTACAAAAGCAATCGGTTGATATAATTAGGAGTGCTGATATTTGAGGAAACACAAT